TTCCACTGTCTCCGGTTCCACAGCCACAGGGCAGGTTGCCCTCAGCTGCTGAGCCCCTCGGCCAGGCTTCCTGTTGCTAAGTGTCCTGTTGTCTTATTTGAGTACCATCAGCTCCAATTACCTTTTTAATCTTTCCTTGACTATTTGTTCTACATTAGCCTGGAGCTGAGGTGTGGCCTGCAATAAAGGCTGAGACACTGGGAACTGTGTTGTCTTCTGTGGAAACCTGACTTATATAGTTAGTATGGCTTTTGACATTGTATAATAGTGACTTCTGGGGCACGGTTCCTACCTTACTTGAAATTCCTAGTTATCAAAGCTATTTTCATGTGTTTCTCTGCTAAGTGCCCTGCCTGTGCTCTTAGTGACTGACTCGTTTAGAACAGGGATTTTATTTTTATTTTTTTGCAAATGCATGCATATGTGAACTTCTTGGTGTAATCCATGCGTGGGAGGCGGAGGTCAACATCAGTGTCCTCTATTGCGGTCCATCTTAGTTTTTACACAGGGTCTCACTGGAGCTGGAGCACAGCAATGTGTCTAAACTGGCTGGCCGAGCCCCCGAAATCCTCCCGCTTCTTTGCTGCCTCCCCCCCACTGGAACTGCAGACCTATGGTAGGCACCACGCCCTACTTTTTATGTAGGTGCTGGAGATCCAAACTCAGGTCCTTTCTGCTCAATCCTCTAGATCAGGAATTCTTAACCTTTCTCTGTGCCACAGACATTTTTGGAGATCTTAGGAAGACTATGGAAACCCTTCTCAGGATTATGTTTTCAAAGGCGTAAAGCTAAATATGAAGGATTGCAAGGAAACTTAAAATTTAATGCTTATCAAATTATTTTCAAGACTTAGATGTAGTAGTAATGTATATGCTTTTGTTCACACAAAACAACATCCAAAGTATTTTTTTAAGTCATGTTTAAAACATCTACAGCAGTGTGGGCTCTGCTGGTGATGATGTCACAGGCCTGCTGGTCTTCAGTTAAAATCCAGTGACCAGCCGGGCGACGGTGGCGCACGCCTTTAATCCCAGCACTCGGGAGGCAGAGGCAGGCGGATCTCTGTGAGTTCAAGACCAGCCTAGTCTACAGAGCACTCCAGGACAGGCTCCAAAGCCACAGAGAAACCCTGACTCGAAAAAAACAAAAAAAAAAAAAAATCCAGTGACCATTGAGTTAACTTTTTACCCTAGCCACATTCACCTAACCTCTGGTTGTCTAAGTTTTCTTTGACATGTTAAGATAAGTTCTTTCTGTTTGCTTGTTCACTTCAGGTTGTTAAATCAACTTCTTGCTTCTGTGTGTGCTTTCTGGACCTGAACTGTTTGCAGGGTTAGCAGTAAATGAGGACTTGAGTAGAAAGGAGTCAGCACCTGACTGGAAAGGTCCCTGTAGGTGCACCGCGTCACCATAGGTGCACCGCATCACACTCCCTGTAGGTGCACCGTGTCACTCCACCTGGATCGCCGTGTCGCTTGAGTTCATAATGCTCAGGCGGGTGGACTTTAACACCTGAATTAATCAAGTCTCTAATTAGGTGATTCACTGGGGGGTTTGTTTGTTGACACCCTCATATCAGTCTTCTATGTACCTACAGAACCATAACGCTCTCCCAGCTGAGCTCTTTGGCTGAGGAATCCTGACATCCCTGTAAGGAAAGCAGATGGACGACCCTCTCCATCTTGGTGCAGTCTCGGGGGAGATAAACTGCTGCCGTCCCAAGGTGTGGAAGGCAGGATCCTGGGAAGTGATCAGTGCTGAGCTAGACAGCTAGATACCGCTCTCCCTGGCTCCTGGCCTCTGTAGTTGGGCTGCCCATTTAGTTTAGATGCTTCCATTGCTACGCCCCAGCTCTCAAGAATGTCTCTGTGACTGGAAGCAGATGGAGACACTCAGAACACAGAGGGTGGACTTACTCATCCCCCCACAACTCTTGTTCTTACCCCATTCTCCCGATGCAACAACTGAGGCTTGGGGAGATTACCGCTTGTCTCCTTAGTACCTTGTTAGTCAGAAGGAAAACCAGGTCTGTCTGATGCAAGCCGGGTATCCCATGTCCAGTGAGTCTCTCCTGCCTTCAGCAAGCTGTGGACAGAAGCTAAGGAATGCCAGGAAAAGTAAGACCAGAAGGAAGAGTGCCAACAAAGGCTTCAGGAAAGGAGACAGATTTAAAAAGGTAGGGGGAACCTGCAGAATCCCTCAAACAAGTGACCAGACATAGGCTAGCAGCAGGGTTTACAGCCCATATGACAGGCTGCTCAGATCAGGGTTGGTGGCTCATGTCTGTTACTTTACCATAAGGGAGCTGAGGCAGGTGGATTACTATAAGTTCAAGGTGAGTCCCCCCCACCTCTTAAAAAAGGAAACCCTCTTCTTGCCTTTGCAGGTACTAGGCACACCATGGTACACAGGCAAACATACATGCAGACAGAACACTCATATACACCAATAACTTTTTTTAAAGAAAGAAACAAGGAGCTGGAGATGATGGTCACTGGTTAAGAGTACTTGCTGCTCTTGCAGAGGGTGTTCAGTTCCCACTACCCACGCTAGGCATCTCATGGCAACCTATAACTCCAGGGGATCGCAGCTCTTTTCTGGACTCTGCACAAGTGTGGCATACACACACACACACACACACACACACACACACACACACACGTAAAAAGGGAGGGGAGTGGTGGCGAAATCCACAGCCAGAGCAGGAGCTGTCCGGTTGCCATAGGCCTAGCAGATTCACAGAGGTTCTGAGAATATCACTTTACAGAGCTTCAAAATCATCTGTCTGCTAGCTCTACGCTGGCCTCTACCCTACCTCTGCAGCACCATGGACATCCATGTCCACCTCCTGACCTCCCAGAGTCCAATAGCAACAGTGTGGAGGTCTTCAGCAAGCATTTCTACCGATGTCTGTGATCTGACCCTAGGGTCCAGCCTCCATGGGACCAGGTAACTGAGATAAGCTGCTTGCCCTGGGGTAAGGCAGGGCTTCCTATCCTACTGGCCATCTTGGACTTAACATGCTTGAGTCACATTCCAGGCTGGCTACCCGCCCATCCCAACAGCCCGCACCTCAACTATGGGAAGAAGGGGCCCACCTGGGGTAAGGGTGCACTCCACTGCCTCTGAGCCCCAGCTGTGGCAGAACCTGCCTTCTTATCCTGAGTAATTGTGCCGTTGTCAAGTGATGCTGTGATCATGTGCGGTGGAGCCCTAATATGTTCCCACAAAACAGAAAAACCTATATAAATCAATAAGGGGGGAAAAAAAGCACTTATTAAAAAGTGAGCAACCTGCATGAACAAGCTACCCACCAGAGAAGAAAATCCTCATGACATGTATAACAGGACCAGCAGTGGGTATGGCTACCAGGATCCCAGCTGTGGGCTGAAGTGACGCGGGCCTGTGGCTTACAATCCTGGCTCTGCCCTTTCAGATCAGCGCCTTGCACATAATGCTGCTAGACCTCAGTTTCCTCATCTGGAAAATGGAGATGGATAGCCTGTCTCATGATGGAGAAGACGAGCTGGGTTAACTTACAGAAAGCATGCCGCACAGCGGGTGGTGAAGTGCTCAGAAAACCCTTCCCTCTCATAGCTTAGCAGCCTGCCTTACAACTGCCATTGGCCTCCCTTTGCCTACCACAGGCCAGTGGAGCTAGGGATCGACAGTTGCCAGCAGCTCAGTCAATGGCTGGCAGGATGGGCCAAGTGTCCCAGTTCACCAGTGTCCCTGAACCTCACGGAATCCAGGTGCTGGCCCCACAACAGTGAATGGAGCCTCCCTTTCATCTTCCCCCACCCTGCGCCAGCATGGGTCCTTCCCGCTGAAACACATGGCCCTCTGTTTTGTCAGAAGGCCAACTCTGAGGACCCTACACTCGAGCACCCCTGCATCTTCGTGGGTGTGAAGGGAAGGGACTTTTCCCAGCCATTGGCAAGGCCCATGGGAGAACCCAGGCTTAGTTTCCCAGGCCCCCCCCCCCCCGGCTCCCTGTGATCTCCCTTTGCTTTAGCATTTATTTCCCACTGTGAGAGAATGGCTCAGCGGGGAATCCCTGATGGGAACTCCTGGGCCTCAGCAGTCCCTTCTGCTTCCAGGGCCTCAGTCTCCTCTGTGGACTACATAGCTAAGGAATCCGCTCCCTGCTGGGATGGAAGACAGTCTGGAAAGCAGCTGACTCTCACCCGGACGTGAGCATCCAAAAAGTTAAAAATGCATATCTCCATACTTTTTTTTTTTTTTTTTTGGTTTTTCGAGACAGGGTTTCTCTGTGGCTTTGGAGCCTGTCCTGGAACTAGCTCTGTAGACCAGGCTGGTCTCGAACTCACAGAGATCCGCCTGCCTCTGCCTCCCGAGTGCTGGGATTAAAGGCGTGCGCCACCACCGCCCGGCTCTCCATACTTTTAGCAAGACTCTATTTACATGTTAGTTCTAGTGGGAAATGAATACTCTTATGTTTATGAATGTGTGCGTGTGTGAGGTGGGTGGGTGGGTGGGTGTGCTTAGCGCATGTGTAGAGGTCGGGACAACTGTGGGGTCAGTTCTCTCCTTGCACCCTCACGTTCATTCTGGGACTCTAACTAATGTTGTCAGGCTTGCATGGCAAGCACCTGTACCAGCTCCGCCATGTTGCTGGCCCTCAGAAGTGTGTATCCTTCTGATCTAGGTCACCTGCTTATCGAACAGCCCATCAGTGAGAAAAGGAACTTGGCCAAGACTCCTGGCACTTCTGCCCATGGCTTCCTACAGCTTACAATCCTGCAGTCTGTTGATGCCGACGTGAATAGTGTGTTAAGGCCCGGCTCATTTCCTCCACTCACAGTGTGAATGAGGCACCAAGCCCTTTCTCCCTTTCGGAAACACCAGTTTGTCATCTGTGGGATGGGGTGAGGATTCCAACCCCAGGGTATCACTGTCCAACCACAACCCCGGGAAAGGCTTGGTAGGAGAGGGCACCCCTGCCCTTTCCTTCACCACTGGGGAGACAGCCTGGGAGGGGAGTGTCACAGAGGAGGGAACAGCTTTGGCAAAGCCTTTTGCTGTCCCTCCCTACCCCCAGCTGCCCTTGGTGACCAGCCCAAGGACCTACACTGAGCTTTCTTTACCCCGGTTCCTGGACATGAGTGTTGGAGCCTCGAACAAGATCTTCCCCCAGGTAAAAGCTACCGGAGCCTAAAGTGGTTCCTGACCTAGGGACTAGCCTTGGGGTGGAAAGGGCTCTGGGAAGAGGGTGCCCTAGGACCTATGGCCACATTCACCTGCCCTGGGGATTCACTCCCAGTGAGAGTCAAGAGTGCTAATAGGCAGGCAAAGCCCAGGGGTTTCGGGCATTATCCGCAGGACCTGCCGGAGTCAATAGAACAAAGGAGGAGCAGGAACTGGGTAGAAGTCGCCCACTGCTCAGGTGAAAAGTGTGGAAACATGAAGAGGCAGGATGAGTCTGGGCTGTGGGGACCCGCGGTTTGCCCAGTCTGCTTCTGATCTCTTGGGCAGGGAGATGCTGAGATCAACTCTGCTGCTGGAGGGAAAGGCCGCCCTGGAGGGGAAGGTAAGAACAGAGGTGGAAGTCAGGCTGAGTGCTGCAGTCTGCCCCAGGAACTCCCTCCCCTGAAGCTGGTACAGAAGGAGTCCAAAGCTGCTACTACTACAGCACCCTGTCCCAGTGTAGATGGTGATGTTGTCTGCCCAGCCATACCGACAGCCACTTGCTGGCCAGAGCTGTTCATTCTCTCCAGCTACCAGCATTTTCTGAGTGGGTACCATGTGCCTTTTACCTCCTAGGCCACCACACTGAGTCTGTAACACCAAAGACCTCCAAATCCACTTCTGGACCCCATGCTTGATCTGGGTGCCTCTGTTGATCTTAGGATAGAGTAGGTGAGCACCACGCAGTTGTACCTATTATGGTTCCCCTATTCCTGTGTGGCCAGGACCTTCATGAGATAAGGAAGGAGTACAAACATACAGAGTGTCTCTCTGGGCCCCATCTTGGCCCTCCGTTGAGCAAGGAGGAAAAGGGTAGATGCCAAGAATGGTTCTGAAGGGGCTGCCTTGGTTGCCTGGAATCGCAGACCTTGGTTTCAGGACAGCCCCGGGTAAGTCAAGTACTAGAGATAGCTGAAGCTAAGAGAGGTTAGGTAATCAGGCCAAGCTAATACAGCATTGAAAAGGAGGCGGCTAAGCCTCAGGACCTTCCGTGCTCCGTGCTGGTGGCTGTTTCCACGTTGTCATTCGGTGCAGCTGGCAGTAGTTGTGACTTTTCTTCCTTTGCTCGGGTGGGCAGCAGCTAAGGAATTTCTGGCTCTAAAGTGGGCATCTCCGCCCAGGCAAGAGCTCTGCTTGCCGTTCCAGTCCTGCCTGCAACCCCACCTTGCACACAGTGTATACTGCACAAATATTTGAGGAGCAGCCACTTGGCTGGACAGAAGCCTCTCCTGCCCAGTTTAAACACAATCTCCCTGGTAACCCAAGTTTACCCTGTGCTTGTTGGCCACAAAGAAGCAACCAGCTAGGGCTGTAGGATTATAGGTTCTGATGTCCGGTGTGCTTCCTGTCAGCCTGCTGCTCTCTCCTCTACCAGCCCACACCCTCCTGCCTCCATCTTCACTAGCCACCCACCAGCCTCTCCTCCCACCCCCTCTGCCTGGAAAACCTGCTCTCTCTGGGAGGCCTCTGCCCTGCCCCACCTTATAAGTCAGCTGGTTCTCCCTAGGCCCCTGTATCACCCGAAGCTCCTCAGAACCTGGTCCACACTTCCCCAGCCAGCCTGGCATATGACACTGTAGTCAGGTGACTGGAAACACGAGTGGCGTGAATTAAATGACCCAAATCAGAATCCTGCCCTTGTCTTCTGTATCTCTGGTTTGCACACACACACACGGGATCAGGAAGAGCTATGGACCGGCTCCACCCTCCTTCCTGTGATGTCTGACTCTCCAAGTGTAGCCGTGAAGGCAAGGGAAGCTACTCTCATGCCTTCTACAGAGCAAGGCATCCAGGAGGTCCCTGATAATGCTGCTTTGCTTCGTTTTCGTAAACAAGCAAGAATTAGGGGAGTTAAGCCAGTCATAGTGTTTGATGCCATTAATTCCAACACTTGGGAGGTGAAGGCAGGCAGATCTCTCTGAGTTTGAGGCCAGCCTGGTTTACATAGTGAGTTCCAGGACAGCCAGAGCTATATAGTGAGACTTTGTCTTACAAAACAAAACAAAAAGGAATTAGGGGGACCAAGCACAGTTCTAGAGTGTGGGGACATCTGTCAGCTACTTCCATTTCTGCTGTTTCTACAGTGCCTTGACAAGAACTTGGCACATGGCAGGTACACAATGGCATCTGTTGTTTTAGGGTAAGCATTCAACAAACCAGCAAACTACAGAAACCATCATGGTACCACTGAGGCACAGGGAAGTGAGGCATCTCACTTGTGTGGCCCAGCTAGGACCTGAAGGAGCTCGAACTGGACTCCAGGTAGCATTCTGGACAGCACTAGGACAGATTTTAGGTTGGAATTGTGGAGAAGGTCTAGGTTTGAGCATCAGATGGGTATCATGCCTTAGTCCAGCACAGGATGGCTGGGGCCTTTGCTTCTTTGAGCCCCGATTTGTCATCCACAGAAATAAAGGACTTCCATGTAAATAGAAATGACGGCTGTGATAAAGCTGTGGTCATTTCTCTCATGGGACAGACTGGGCGCATTGATGTCTACTGTCCTATCTCCCTGGTCATGAGGATAGACAAGGAAGGATGGGAAGAGGAGACAGCCTCCGTGGAACAGAGGCTAGCCACTGATGGCACTTAATGATGGTGGAGGGCCGGCAGGGCCAGAGTGTCATGGAGGGCTTAGGAATGCTTTCTCTAGCCCTAATGCTCCTTGATGAGGGAGGGCTTCCTGAAGGGCTGGGTGTGGTCCTGGGGGGCCGGTCCTGAGGGGACCCCTGTGCCTCTTCACTGTCTTACCCTCCACAGGCTGTGGCCCCTTCTGCTGCTCACGCCGTGGGGCCTGCCTCTCGGCCTTACTGCTGCTACTGACGGCCATGCTTGCTGCCTTGCTCATCGTGGCCACCATCCTTGGACGTCCACCCCACGGACCAGGTCAGGGTGGCAAGAGGGAGGCATGGAGGCTCAGGGAGCTGGAAGCCCTAGTCCAGCCAGGCTTCTCCCTGAAGTGGCTCCAGTGACCCCTTCAGGTGCAAAGAGAGATAGATACCTGTGCATGTGTGGACACGAGGCTGAGAGGCCTTTCGTACATCCTTGACCTGCATCATTTCAAGATTTCCCATTTGTTTGTTTGTTTATTTATTTATTTATTGTTTTTCAAGACAAGGTCTAACGGCCCTGGCTGTCCTGGAACTCACTCTGTAGACCAGGCTGGCCTCAAACTTAACAGGCCTCTAACTCACAGAGCTCTGTCTGCCTCTACCTCCCAAATTCTGGGATTAAAGGTGTACGCTACCACTGCTGACTTTTACTTATAATTTCTAAATTTTTTTTTTTTTTTGATTTTCAAGACAGGATTTTTCTGTAGTTTTTGGTGCCTGTCCTGGAACTCCCAGAGATCCACCTGCCTCTGCCTTCCAAGTGCTGGGATTAAAGGCATGCGCCACCACCGCCCGGCTAAAATTTATTTTTATGTATATGGGTGTTCTGCCTGCATATCTGTCTGTACACCACATGTGTGCCTGGTGCCCAGGAAGGACAGAAGATGATTGTCAGGCCTCCTGGAACTGTAGTTAACAGATGATTGTGAACCTCTAGGTGGGTGCTGGGAATTGAACCTAGGTCCTCTGGAAGAGCTTTAACAAGTGCTTTTAAGCACCAAGCCATCTCTCCAGACCCCACATGCACTACTGAGAGATCCTGACTCTCTCTGACCCCTGAGCTGGGCCGGAGGCTTCGTCAGCTCCCACAGCTGGTGCATTTCCTATTTCCCTCGTCTGACCGCCCTGGGTGGTGCCCTCAGCCACAGACCAGGTTGTGTCCAGAACTTTCCTGCAGTCTGGCTGCAGAGTGAACCACCCAATGCAACCCCCACCCTCAGGGAGCAGTTTAGAGAACCACATGGGCTTGGTCCAATAAACACTCAAAGGCAGGCCTCCTGGGGGATCAGGAGTCTGGAACCAAGGCTCTCATCCAGTCAGCGTGAGACTTAGGGTGGGAAGCACCGTGGGGAGTGAAAGAGACCTGAGATGGGGAGGGAAATGGAGCTTGTTTAGAAGAGGGTGTCAGGAACAGCATCCCAGGCCTAGGGAACAGCATGTGTGGAGGTCCTGGGGTGGGAAGCTAAGGAGAAGGAAAGACAAGAGGACAGTGGATGTGAGTGGGTGGGGTCAGGTACCCAGGACCTTAAAAACTTCACTTGGGAGGGTGGCCACGTTCCAGGAGCCGAGGGAAGGGACTGTCCCACCCTTCTTCCTTGCTTTCTGAGATATGGCTCCATAGCCAGGCAGGGCCACTGCAAGGGATGACGAGGAAAAGTAAAATCCCAGCATTCCACATGACAGTGCAGAAGGGGGAGCTGCAGCCGTGGGCCTGGGTATGCAAGCGTGTGTGCATGTGTGCGATTTATGTGTATCAGTGCCTGTGTGCATGCAGATGCCTGACTGTGTGTGTGTGTGCGATTGCCCAAGGGCAGGCAGATGTGTGTGCAGGTTCCTGCCTGCTTGTATGCATGTGTGTGTGAGTGTCCGTGTGCACGCAGATGTCTGTCTGCTTGTGTTTACATGTGTGTGTGTGTGTGTAAATGCCCATATGTTGTTGAGTGGGTTTTTTTTTTTTTTGACTCTTTACTCTTTGGGGGCCCACCATCCAGCTCCCAAATACATGGAGACTTATTCCTTTTTTCTTTTTCTTTTTTAGGTGATATTTTTCTTTTTATTTATCTGTTTGTTTTAAAGAAGAGAACAAACTCTTTTTCATTATACATACCCAATCCAAGTTACCACTCCCATTCCCTCCACTTACCCTCCCACCCCACCCCCACCCAGTCCTCAGAGAGCGTAAGGCACATTGTTTTGGGGAAGGTTCAAGGCCCTCCCTACTATATCTAGGCTGAACCATCCAAAGAGAATAGGTTCCCGAAAAGCCAGTACAAGCAGTAGGGATGAATCCTGGTGCCAATTCCAGTGGCCCTTCAGTCTGCCCCAGCCATGCAACTGTCAACCACATTCAGAGAGACTAGTTTGGTCCTATGCTTGTTCCTTCCCAGTCTGGCTGGAGTTGGTGAGCTCCTATTAACTCAGGTACCTGTTTCAGTGAGTGAACCCATTCTTACACATGTGCCCAGAGGCACAGGTTATGGCTTCCATCTCCCTAGTTTCTCCTTTAAATCTTGGGGCTGCCTCTAGGGGTGAGTGTCTCTCTTCTGGTAGGGTTTAGGCATACCTCTTCTCAGGAGTACTTGGAGGAACAGTAAGAATACGGAAGTTTGCAGACTTTTTAAGGTATACCCAGATGCAAGGGATTGTGACATTTTTGTCCCCAGTCACCACAGACATACAATTTGCAACAAGCTAAACTGGTTCCAGGAGATCCACCATTAATGGCCACGTGAATGATGGCACACTGCCCTCAATGCTTCCTGCGTGACCAAACCAGTGAGTGAACTGCTCTGCACACTGTGCAATCCACAGTATGTTGTCCCCGACATTCCATATACACCTGGGGCTAGGCTCTGACCTTGATTTTGTAGACAAAGGACCTAGGGAGCCAAGTCACCTGTTCCTGCCATGATGTGGCAGTGGCAGAGTAGCAGCTTCAACCCCAGAGATGCCATGGAGTTGAGGGTCTGCCTCCCCGCTCCCCGCCCAGGCCTTCCGGTGATCAAAAGTGCTCACTAGGGGACCTTGTGCAGGGTCCACCTTGCCCCTCTCAAGGCTGCCTTTGTGAGCATCCCCTTCGCTCCAGGGCCTCTCTTGCCCCTACAGAGACCCAGTCCTGTGTGACGTTGACCAACAGGACGGGCTTCTTATGCCATGACCGAAGGCATTGCATCCCAGCCCACGGGGTGTGTGATGGCGTTCGCACCTGTCCCCACGGTGAGGATGAGGATGAAAGCTTGTGCCGTGAGTACCCCCTCAGTTCCGTGTCCCTGTTCATCTCCCCTACAGCTGCTTTAACTCTGTTTACAGCCCTGTGGAGCTTTCTCAGGCACCACCTCTGTGTCCCCATGCCTAGTCAAGGCCTTCTGCTGTACACTGAGGGATCATTCACCATCCTCTCACTCCTCAGCCTCTGTGGCCATCCTTCAAGGCAGAGTTCACGAGCTGCCTCTTCCTGGAAGCCTTCCCTGAGTCCTGCTGGGAGTCAACAATTCTTTTTTTTTTAATATTTATTTATATATTGTGTATACAACATTCCTTCCATGTATGCTTGCATGCCAGAAGAGGACAACAGACCTCATTACAGCTAGTTGTGAGCCACCATGTGGTTGCTGAGAATTGAACTCAGGACCTCTGGAAGAGCAGACAGTGTTCTTAACCTCTGAGAGATCTCTCCAGCCCCTCAACAGTTCTTCTTTAGGCTCCTACAGACCCTGCCTCCCTGCCTTGACCCTAGTCACATTGGCATCACACCGGCCACTTCCGTCAGGCTGTGACTGCCTCTGGCAATCTGTTCCAGTTCATGGGACGAGGGTATTCAGAACAGCTTGCCGGATGACTGAGCAAGTGAATGAATGAACCGGAAGGCCCCATGCCTTAAAACACTTGCTTTTAGGAGCGAGGAGCCTGGCTGTGTGGAATAAACATGAAGCGTGAATGAGCGAGGAGACGCGCAGCAGGGAGAAAGCTGTGAGCTGGAGGCAGCGGTTGGGACTCTAAAGAATCGTTTAGCTCAAATCCAAGAGTGCTGGTATACACTGTAATCTCACCACTTAGGAAGTGGATGCAGGAGGATCAGGAGTTCAGGGCCTCCTTGGTTACACCACAAGTTTCAGGCCAACCTGGGCTACGGTGACGCCTTTCTCAATAATAACAGAAGTGCAGCTCCAGTAAGCCCAACAGGGACTCCCCAGCCCCCGCTTAAATGCTTCTATGCCGGGGGCATTCGCTACATGAGGCTGTCCCGGGTCTGTGAGAATTTCTGTCTCTCTGTGCACTATCACCTGACGTAGAAGCCACTTTGGAACTCTGGGGCCCAGTGTAAGGAATCTGGGTTCTGCCTGCTACATCCTGATGAGACAAGGCTTCCTGGCGGGAAGGAACTTGACCCCGAGTTGAAGGGGTCAAGCAGGGGTGGCTAGGAGGACTTCTGCAGTGGTGGCACATGCGGTGCTGAGGGTGGGGGCATACACAAGACCGAGGGTGGGGACATACCAGGGCTAGGCAGGGAATGAAGATGCTCCCCAGGCCTCTGGCCACCTGGCAGAAGGTACACAGAGCAAGAACATTCTACTCCTTGGACCCGACCTTCTTCCTGGAAGGCCTCCTGCGCCCTTTCCAGAATGGATGGGGAGACCCTGGCTGCACTGCCTGCCTGGTTGGATAGAGGGATCCTGCTGCAGATGGCACATGGCTGAGGTACTGTGGTCAGAGGTGAACTGTGTTTTGCCCCTCTCGCCCCTCTCTAGGAGATGTGCCCCGGAGCCTCCCCAGCTTTCTCCTGGCCCACTGTGGAGACTCAGCCTCCTGGATCTACTCGGACCAGAGATGTGATGGTATTAACAACTGTGGGGACTGCTCAGACGAACTGAGCCCAGGTGGGGGTCTGGGCACGGGTGGGCGGGGCAGAGGGCGGGACGGGGGGGGGGCACTCCGGGTCCCCTGTATGCTCTTCCTGCCTCCTGGAAAGAGGCTTCCCACTCCCGCTTGGACTCCTCTGGATAAAGAAGCTGGGTATGAGAGACCCTCCTGTGGAGGGGCTTGCCTCCAGGACACTGGCAGGACACTAGAGCACAGAGGGGGACTGAGCAGACACTGCCCTACCTTTTCGGATCCGAGCCTTCTGTCCTGGGTCCCTCCCAGCAACCCTGTGAGAAGGGCAGGGCAGGACTCATGGCCCCAATTCATAGTTGGGCGATCCCAAGCCTCAAGAAGGGAGCAGCCCCCATAGGAAGGGAATGTGGAGTCGAGTCCAGAGCCAGGACAAGGGGGGTGCCCTAGCCCTCCCTAGAGCCTTCCCCCAGGACAGGGAGGTGCTCCAGTCAGGTACACGTGTGCACACAACAAATACATGGAAGTAGGAAGTCTTAAGGTAGGCGCTGAAGACGCAGCTCAGTTGGTAGACTGCCTGGCCAGTGTGCATGAAGCCCGGGGTTGATGCCCAGCACCACATAAGTGAGACACGGTAGTCCATTTCTATAATGCCAATACTCTAAGAGCAGAGGCAGGAGGATCAGAACTGCAAGGTCATCTTTGGCTATAGAGTTGAGGAGTTGAAGGCCAGCTTGAGACCCTGTCTCAAAAGACAAAAGGTGAAGAGCAATCGAGGAAGACATTGTAGACCGTATATGATCACATAAAGGTACATGCATCCATCCATGTTTGTATGTGTCTGTGTGTACACACATGAGCACACATCCTATCCCCAGTGTTAAATCAACAAACATGTTCTGATCACTGTTGAGGGAGGCCTGTGCCAGGTTCCGGGAGGGGATACTCAGGAGCCAGACATATCTCTGGACACATCATGTTGGGGCCAAAAGGAAGTGCCAGAGCCCTGGAGGAATCCACGGACTTCTCAGAAAAGGCTTCCCAAGTGGAGCTGTTGAGAACAGGGCCAACAGTCAGGGATGGTGTGTGCAGAGGAATGCTTGAGCCACAGGCACAGGGCAAAAGACAGAAGAGTGAGGGACCCCCAGGGCATCCAAGGGGTCGCTAAGGCAGGAGTCAGGGTGAAACTGGAAGCTGAGCTGGGGAAGCGGGATCTAAGTGTTCATTAATGTCTGAGCTCAGCCTTGTTTCTTTTACTCAACAACTGAGCAGATGAAAACAGAGGCTTAGACAGGGCAAGCAGGTCTCACAGCCTAGGCGTGGTACCCTTCAAATCTCTGCCACAGGGAGACCGGGCACACAGTCGCCCCGCACTAGATGGCCTACGGCTGCAGGAGCTATGGCATGTTGCGGGTTGAGACCTAGTGTAAGCTGAGCCCAGGACCAACAGCTGCTTCTTCCTCTGGCTCTTGTCTCCCCAGTAACCACGTGTCCACCTTGTGGCCCCGGCTGGTGGCGCTGCACTCCTACCGTCTTCAAGTACTGCAGCTGTATCCCCAGGGTTCTGTGCCGGGACCGTGTGCAGCACTGCTCTGATTGGTCAGACGAGTATGCCTGTTCTGGACCCTGAGAGAGCGCCCCTCTGCAGCGTGGAGGCTGGCACCAGGAACCTTACACCAGAGCGTCAAACCCTAGGCTACAAGGGAGGGAAGGAGCCTTTGACGTCATCCAGCGACATCTCCCCATTGTCTCTAAACAGGAATTAGCCTTTTCGGTTCTAGTGTCTCAGCCTCTACTTGAGCACCTCCACTAACAAGGAGCTCACTACCATGTTAGAAAGCTTCTAACAATGAGGTACTCACCATCATTTTAAGCCCGTCGATGGGACCACTCAGAGGGAATATGCTCCTTGGCTCCAGGGCAGGCCGGAAGGTCCCAGTCTTATCACCGTTTGGAGAGACAGACAAAAGTGTGACTTAAATGTCAAGCAGAGGCGTTTAGCCCCCATGGATAGAAAACGAAGTACACACATTTACCATCCATTCTGTGCTGGGGTGGCCAAAGCACAGGCATATGTGGAAAGAAAAGATTGTCACTTCATAATAAGAGTTCCGGAGACTCAGAAGAGCCAGAGAAAATCAATTTAGTTTATAATCTTGTAAGGCATCAGCCCAGAATGTCAGGTTTGCCCCGTGAGTACAGAGAGCGTCTATAAACCCTAATGCATGACCCTCCCTCCCTTTCGTGACTAATCGCGAGGGCACCGTCTCTTGGGCCATCGTGGTCCCACCTGTCCTTCTTCCCACCTGTCCCTCTCTCCTCTGCATTTGTCTTTTTCTCAACAAAAACCTTGCACATGTTCATCTGTTTTACATCCTGTCTATTTTAAGACTTATCTGATGTGTGCAGGCAAGCTTGGCTATGAGTAATTTTTTATCCTAAACTTCTAGTATGGATGTAGGGTAACTTAGCAGAGTTTGGGTAGGGGTATGAAGACTAGCAGGCATTAGCAGAGGGCCAGCATCTTCTGTTCAGTTTGTGCTGGACCTCAGTTGGCTCAAGGCATCTTCGAAATGAATCATCAGATTTTCCATGGGGTGGGGGCAGACATAGTAGTGGTCAGAGTGTTGGATCAATACACAGTATCTCAGTTCATCCCATAGGTGGTGGGGGTAACACAGGGGAGATTAAGTCAGGAATGTGGGCTGCTTTAAGAGTATTAAAAAAACCTGTCTCTTGCCAGACAGTGGTGGCACATGCCTCTGATCCCAACACTCAGGAGGCAGAATCTCTGAGTTCAGAGCCAGTCTGGTCGAGGATAGCCATGGCTACACAGTCTCGAAAACCCAAATAAAATAAAAATAAAAGCTGTCTCTTGGTGTCTTAGGAGGTAGTGAGCTAAGGGCTTCCTGTGTAAGCGCGATGTCCTGGGGTTGGTTTTCGGCAGTCACATGCAAGGCAGGTGTGGGGTGACAGATGTGTGCAGAGACAGGCAAGCCCTGGGGACTGACTGGCCATCAGTCGACCTGATGAACTCTGGTTCAGTGGGAGACCCTTTCTCAAGGAAGAAGGTGGAGTTACAGTGAGATGGCTCAGCAGGAAAAGGCTCCCGCTGCCAAGCCTGATAACCTGGGTTTGATTCCGAGGCCCCACAAGGAGAGAACAAACAAAGAGAGACAAACAGGGGCCTGTCCTCTGCTGACGTGTGCCTCCACACAGCTCACACAAAATAAAATAAACGGAATTATAAATAATGATTAACAAAGACACCCCATGTCAACTTCTGGCCTTCATATGTGCATGCACGGATGGACACACACACAAATATATACACACGCACCACACACAATAATTAAAACCTGTCAGAAAAAAGCAATGCAGCTTGCTGAAGACTGTGGCATGGAGGACAGGGCAGATGGGATAGCGTGACATTTGTGGACCCCGTCACTGTTGTGCCACCTCAGGAGATCTATGAAGGATGACCGATCCAAATAGAGGCCCAAGCAGGGCCTTGGAGAGGACGCAGCCCAGTAGGAGGCAGGGAAAGGTGGAACAGGGCATGGGCAGGGCTGTACCTGGCTGCTGGAGGAGCTTGGTAGGCTTAGTGCCTGGAGTGTGCAGAGCAGCCTTGGGGCTGGCTTTGGAGAGGGGTCATGGCTTCAAGGCCGCAATTTGTTTTCAGAGGAAGAATACATTGGATTTCTTCATGTGAAGAGGACTTTAAAGAAGGCTGGGGAATAAGGATCCAGCCCAGGCTACTGCGCAGGCTCACTGAGAGGAGCTACATTTGTAAAGGTTTATGTGGAAGACTGGGATGCCCTGATGGACCTGTGGCTCTCATGAGCATCAGTGGTGGGGGTCTGTGAGCATCTCACCCTGTCACTGTAGTCCCTGGAAGCCCCTGTCAGCCTATCTCAACCTTCTCACTCTGTCTCCACCCGACCGACCGCGACTCCTGTGCCTGGTATAGCTGCTCACACTGCCCAGAGGCACAGAGAGATGGAGTTGCTTGCCTAAAATCACACAGCGAGGAGTTCCAGTTTCTCAGGCCCTATTCCGGAGGCTGCTGTAACCCTCCTGAAACCTCGCTCTCTCAGCCAGGAGGGAAAGTGGAACCTGGCAGGGGCCACAGAACATGTGCCGGAGGTGGCTGCTTCCTTTCTTGTTTATTGGTCCTTCCCTTCATAAAGGAGAAGGGTGCCATAGCCACCACCCAAACAATTCTCTGTAAGATATTCCAGGAAGATACAGGCCTGGGGCCTGGGCCAAGCTGACCCGCCCCTGGCGCCAGGCCGCAAAACAGCCAGAAGAGACAACTCAGCAGCCAGTGCCAATATTTGCCCTGGCCCCGCCTCCCCTGGCCCCAGCCCCAAGATCAAGGCTCTAAAGACAACAGGTTCTTTGCTGTGCAAACACGAAGGGCTAGATGAATGGAACTGAAAGTGGCTCCAGCTGGGCCCCAGGGTTTGGGTTGAAATCGCCTCTGGGTTAGCCGGCCGCCATCTCTGTTTGCTGGGGCTCTGCTTTCATCCTTAAGCTCACAGAACTACACTGGCTAGAGCCAGCAAGAGGCTCAGGCAGGCTTCCGACAAAAGAGGACACTGCCTCCCAGAGAGGACAGGGATTGGCCGCATGGCCCGGTGACTGACATGGGGTTCTGACGCCACACTAATTCCAGAAACTCACACACACACACACACACACACACACACACACACACACACACACGGGGGCAGGACAGGAGATCCTGTCTCAAAAACTTGAACACACATAGTAAAAATAGCTAATGATTAATGATAAGTTATAACTTCAAAACTTTTGCATTTGGGAACTCTCTCTCTCTCTCTTCCCTTCTTTCCCTCTTTCCCTCCTCTCCCTCTTTTCCTCTCTCCCTCCCTTCCGAAACACAATCTTGCCATGTTGCTTTGTCTGGCCTTAAGCTCACAGTCTTCCTGACTCAGCCCCTCAATGATGAACCTGAGGTTGGTCAGGTGGCTCAGGGAGATAAACGTGCTTGTTGCCAAGTCTGAAGATCTTAGTTCGATCCCTAGATCTCATGTGGTAGAAGGTGAGAACTGATTCAAACTAAACGTCCCCTGCTCTCAGAGTTTGAGAGCATGAGCCTGTACGCGTGCATGCAGTAGCCTGTGCGTGTGCACACACGTGCACACAAATAAGTAAGTAAGACACTAAAGAATTGTCAGTTTATAATAAAAATGTATTTGTAGCCGGGCAGTGGTGGCACATATCTTTAATTTCAACACTCAGGAGGCAGAGGCAGGCAGATCTCTGATCTCTGTGAACTCGAGGCCAGCCTGGTCTCGAAAACAAAAAAAAAAAAAGTATTTGTAACAGTTCAAACAGAAAACATTTTATGAAGTACTATAAGAATAGTGTTCGGGTATGTGTGAAAAAAGCTTTATAAGAAAAGTTTAAACTTTTAAAAATGTTAATGTATGTATAGTTGTTCCTGTAGAAGTCGTTCACCTCCCTGATTTGGTAGATTCCTAGGTATCTTTCTGAAGCTATTGTAAATGAGGTGGGGTTTTTTCCCCAATTTTTTTTTCTTGGCAAGTTTGATATTAGCATACAGAAAAGCTACTGGCTTTGTTTCTTTGCTGAGAGTGTTTATTGGATATGGGAGTTTTAGGACTGGTGGTAGTCTTTAACATATAGAACCATGTCACCTGGGCCACTTTTACTTTTTCCTCCCCTGGTGGGAACCTTTTGTTCCTTTCTCTTGTCTTACCCATCTAGCTAAAGACTTTGAACTCTGTATTAGATAGGAGTGAAGAGAATGAACACTCTAGTTTGGCTCCAGATCTGGGGAGAACAAACTTCTCAACTTTTTCACCATTGAGAACAATACACAGTTTTCCTCAGACTGAGACATAGTCCTCCTTTTCCTTTATCCTGAAGGGATGGAGAAACTTTGCTGAAGAACTTTTCTGCATCAATTGAGGCAATCGTGTGACTTTTCTTTACATTTCTTTATTTTGTATGTGTGTGTGGAGGTCAAAAGGCTTCAAGGAATCTAACTCAGGTCATCAAGGCTTAGCAGCAGGTGCCTTTATCCGCTTAGCCATCTTGCTGGCCCTGGTGATGTGGTTTCTGTCCTTACATCTATTTATGTGCTGAATTGCACTTATACTGATTTGTGTGTGTTGAATCAAACTTACATCCTTGTAATGAAGCCAATTTGGTCATGGTGTATAATCTTACTGTGGCCTTGAATTTGGTTTACAAAGATTTCTTTGAGAATTCATTGTCGATGTTCCTCAGGGACATTAGTCTATAGTTTGTTGTTGTTATATCCATATCTGGCTTTGGTGCCAGGGCATTACTGGCTTTGCAGAACTAGGGTTCCAGATGGTTGTGAGCTGCCATGTAGGTGCCGGAGCTGAAGCCAGGTCCTCTGCTGAGCCGTCTCCAGCCTCTGTTAGAAGATTTACTACTATCTCAGTCTCACTGAGTGCCGCATGTTCGTTTACATACCTGTTCTTACTTATGAAGCTTTAGGGGTGACTCTGTGTCTAGGAATTTATTCATTTCTACGAGATTTCCCAGGTTTTTAAAAACAAAGTTATATAAACATTCTCTAATCATATCTCTGTCTCACTGAATCTGTAGTAATCTTTCCTTTTTACCTCTGTTTTTATTAGTTTAGATCTGCTCTGTCTTTGATTTGTTTGGGTTTGTTCATCTGATTTATTTTCCTATTTAACTTTTATTACATTTATTTAGTGTGGTGCATGTGTGTGTTCTTTCCTTCTATTACAAGGGTCCTGGGGACTGAACTCAGGATGTCAGGCTTGGTGACAAGTGCCTCTGCCCCTTGAGCCATCTCTGTGGCCCTCCCATTTCCTTTCTTGCCTCTGGCCTTTATTATTTCTTGCTATGCACTGTTTTTGAGTTGAGCTTCTTCTTGTTTTTGTAGGACCTTGAGTTGCACTGAAATTAACTTGAGATGGTTCTGGTTTTTATAAGATTTTTCTGATTCTCTAGCTAGAAGCTTTCCTGTGAGAACTGTCTTGGCTATATCCCAAAGGTTTTGTACTTTTGTTTTCACTGGATTCTAAGAGCTTTTAAATGTTTCCCTGATTTCTTCATTGACTCTTGTTATTCAAGAGTATTTTCGTCCAGTTTCCATGTATCTGTGTAATTTCTCTAGCTCTTCTCTGTTGTGTAATATTACTTTAACTATATAAAGATGTGTTACATTTGTTTATGCTGTATTTGTTTAATGATGTAAGGATGTGTGTTTAATTATGTAAAGAGGTGTTGCATCTGTTTCACCTTGCCTGCCTAAGGCATCTGATTGGTCTAATAAAACTGAATAGCCAATAGCTAGGCAGGAGCTGGATAGGTGGGGCTGCCAGGCAGAGAGAATAATTAGGAGGAGAACACTGGGCTCAAGAGAGAAAGAGAGAGACTCCTGGGGGCAGAAGCCAAGCAGCCACCAGACAGACAGACATAGAGAAGCAGTGAAAGTAAGACATACAGAATTAAGAAAGGTAATAAGCCCCAAGGCAAAAGGTAGATAAAGAGAAACAGGTTAAGTTAAAAGAGTTAGCCAGAAGCCCGGTGGTGGTGGTGGTGGCGGCGGCGCACGCCTTTAATCCCAGCACTCAGGAGGCAGAGGCAGGCGGATCTCTGTGAGTTTGAGACCAGCCTGGTCTACAAGAGCTAGTTCCAGGACAGGCTCCAAAACCACAGAGAAACCCTGTCTCGAAAAACCAAAGGAAAAAAAAAAAAAGAGCTAGCCAGAAATGAGCCTAAATGATGTCAAGCATTCAAAACTAACGGTAAGTCTCCCTGTCATGATTTGGGAGCTAGCTGGTGA